GATATCTAATATTCGACAACGTGTTTCAAAACAATTTCTAGAGTACATAACTTGATAAACGGTCGAATATTCTGTGCATCATTATTTGGTATGTTCCGATGAATTATTCAAAAATAATTGCTCAATCTCTACAAGGCTTACTATACCACCCACCCCTCTCGCTCAAATCAATGGAAGTAAAACTTCATAATGAAATAACTTCGGTGATTCTCACCTTATCGATTTGGTATCTTCTTCTTCACATTTCAAGCTTATTGCTTATCGAATATTAAGCTTATTGCATTCTCTCAACTGCCAACCCGAAAAATTCCTAGACCAGACCATGAATCGAACCCAGCCAGCTCCTGTATGGTCTTGCATTGTAACTGGTTCTTTACCGACTGAGCTAATAAATGCTCCAATATTTTTGAATAGCATTTCTGAGCATACCAGCTTGACAAGATGCGAAACACCGAAGTTATTTCAGCTTAAAGCTTTACTTCCATTACCCCCCCCCCCCCCGCTCAAACTTTTGAGATTAAGCAATTATTTTTAAATATTTCATCTAAACATACCAAATCGATAAGACAAGAAACTTCAAAATATTTGGAATCTGATTTTCATTGATCACCAGGCAGCAAAAGTGATTTTTGATAATTAATTACATCAACCGGCCATTTTCCAAAGAGATGGCGCTGTTCCGCTGGTAGGAAGTGATAAAAATCACCATATTTAAATTGAAAGAAGTAGGAATAATTCACTTTCGGTGCATATTCAGGTCAAAAAAGTGAACGACAACCTAAAGAAATCATTCATGGACTTTGTCGTTCACTTATTTCCAATGAATTATTATTATACAAGGTACAAATAAATCAAAAAGGTTTTTCCCATACATTTTTTAGCCGCTTCACTACCAGTCTTCAGAGAGAGAAAAATTTCAAATTTGAGACAGGAAATTCCCTCTCACGAGCTCAACCTCTCAACATGCCATATATGACACTCGATTTGACAATACAAAACATGTCTGGTACCTCTATATGGGTACACGACGTTAGGCATACGGTCGTTAGGCATACGGTCGTTAGGCATACGGACGTTAGGCATAATGTACGGTAGGCATAATGGACGCTAGGCATAAAGGACGTTAGGCATAATAGACGTTAGGCACAATCTACCCGTTGAATTCCAGAAGGATGATAATGGGGACCGTGTATTGATTGCTGACATCGGTGACAATAATAAAAGAGCCTTAATTTTTGGGACTCATGAAAACTTGCGACGTCTTGGACAGGCAAAGTTTTTGAATGAAGATAGTACGTTTGCCACAGTTCCTTGTTTGTTTCGGCAACTCGTCACTGTTCATGGAAGTATCGCTCCCTCACATCAGCAGACAGTTCTGCTAGTATTCATTCTGATGGCAACAAAAACGCAATCGTTGTATCGAAAAGTATGGGAGTAAATCCTGGAAGCATGTTTTTGTTATTGAATGAAAAACCATTCTTCATTTCATGAGCTGTTCTTTGGCATCATCTTTTATTCCACCTCAGCTGTTTTTTTGTTATTGAATGAAAATTCACAGAATTCACCATTCTTTATTTCATGAGCTGTTATTTGACGAAAACCTTTTCTTCTTTGACATTTCCGGAGAACTTCGAGATTAGGGTGTAATTGCTTTTGTAAACAAACACTTCATTTGACAATTTCTCGCGAATTAAAGCTCAATCTCAAAAACTAACAACACAAACAGGCAGATGAATGGTTCCTCTATCATTTGGTATAGTTTGTTCACGAGATTTTTCTTTTGTTCACGATCAGCGATTGACATGTCTGTTTACAAAAGCAATTACGCCCAAATCTCAAAGTTTCCCGGACTTGCAATAGATGTGTAAAAATATATTACAACAAATGTGTGCTTTATTATTTCTATATGCGATTGATTTCAAGATGCAGTAAAAAACTATGCTGAGTTTTGTTGCCAGATTACTTAACCACTATCGCTACTAATCTTGGATCTAAGTAAATATGTAGGTACGTCACTTATGATATTATAAATAATGGATTTCATTGTTTACCATGCTCGAAACAGTTTTCTAGAGTTGCACAGCAGCAAGGTATTTTATGCCTAACGTCCGTTATGCCTAACGTATATTATGCCAAACGTCCATTATGGCTAATGACTTTATGCCTAACGTTCATTATGCCTAACGTCCGTATGCCTAACGTATTTATGCCAAATGGGGTACACTCCCTCTATATATGCATTCAGACATTCGAAGTCCCTCCTTTTTTACATATTCCGCACAAAATATATTTTCTGCTCCTGTGAGGGGTGAGCTATTTTGTGTGCAGAATGTGTAAAAAGGAGGGACTTCGAATATTAATCTAAATGCATATATAGGGGCTGTTCATAAACTACGTAGACAGTTTTACCCCTGCGTAGACAATTGTCCATACCAAAATTTTAAAATTTGTATGGGCCGTGGATAATTTTCAAATATCCCCCCCCCCCCTAAACTGTCTACGTAGTTTATGAACAGCCCCATAGAAGTACAAGACATGTTTCGCACTGCACAGTCCTCTGTGTACAATTAACGGAAAACAGTTTATGCGTAGTTTCCGATAGATGTCACTGCAAACAACAGCAGTGACATCTGATGGAAAATGAATGCAGAAGCTTGACAAAATTATTAATTAATTCGGAACTTCGATCTTTGAACAGCTATAAATTTTTTTATAGACATTCTAGCACCGTTCATCATTGAGCAAAGTTGTTTGGCGCTTCCTAGAGTATACGTTTACATGGTTAGTTGCAAAATTTATGGAAAATTGTGGCCCCAAGGAATAAAAATGCATAAAAGTAGGATTTCCCATTAATTTCCATTCAAATTTTTAACGCAATGCGGAAAGCCGGGCCCATTGTCCCCCTGAATTGTTGTGACTCCACATGGAACCAAAAAAACATTGTTCTGAAAATATGATCATCATGACCCACCTGCCCAGGGTATGCGAGAAATTTTTCGACCCGAAAAATTCCTACACTGGCCCAAGAATTAAACCCATCCACCTCCGGCAGAGTGTGTGTGTAACGTTATATTGTATCTCAGTTGTCTCAACAAACACTACACCTAGTTGGTCACAACAAGTGCCAAATGAAAGGTTTCATACGGTATTGAATATTTCAGGAATCAGTCAACCGGTTCCGGAGATATGACGAGAATATTTTCCGGTCAATATGGGTTGTATGACTGGAACCGAGTTGGAACTTGCAATCTCAGTAGATTTGAGAAACAAGATCAAACTTAGTCAAATAAAGTGACCGTGAAGTGCGTTTGTCACTTTCGACCATGTTACGGGTGCCCCCAGAGAAGTGGCATGAGTTGGTCCAAAACCCACCATGCGATACATCAAATCACATTTTAATTCCAAAATATTCGCAATGGTGATCCAGAGACGGTTTATAATTCTGTGGCAAGCAATGTATACACACTTAGGGGCTTTTCTATGCAGATGATTTTTAGATGTCCCCTTGTTTTAAATATATAACTATATCAATGAAACCTGAATTTTTTTTTGTTTAAAACCATAATAAATGATAAAAGTATCATTGGAAGCCATTCCCCTGTGATTAAACTTTCAAAAATGTTGGTCCCAAAAAGTAAATAATATTCAGTTCTTAATTTATATGTCATATTGGGGGCTATTCAATAATTATGTAAGCACTTAGGAAGGAAGGAGGTGTTGGGTGCTTTCTTACGTTTTCTTACATGGTTGGAAAAGGGTCTCAGAAATATCTTACGTAAGCATAAACAAATCATATACAGACCATCCAAATGTTCGATCTTACTAAGAGAGGAGGGGAGTTTTGGTAAATAGTACCAAGTCTTACAACGGACGGAGGGGGATTTCAGAATTAAAAAAATGCTTTCGACCCCTAAGACATTATCATCTTTCAATCCGCATCCCTAAATATTCAGTTTTTGAGTAACAATTTACCACAGGATCTTGGGTAGAGATCAGGATTGTTATTCGTTAACGTCAGCGTTAACATCCTCAATTGAAATTTGCATTGAAGTCGCCATTTAAAATCCTTGTAAAGATCATACCCACCTTGTGATGCTGTGTTAAGTATCAGACATTTGGTTTTTCAAGTTGTTCCCTTTCATATTCTATCTTGGAAATGTGTATGTATTTGCTGATTAATTAACGTTTGAAAAGGATTAATTGCATGGAGAAAATCGTTATTAATTCGTGATATTTAAGAGATTTCTATTAACTTTGCTCAGTAAAAATGTGCAGTTTATCAAGTTCTAAAAGTTATTTGAAGACAACTTTCATGGCACATTTGAAATAAAAAATGCAGAGCTATGAAATTAACCCTAGGCCAATTTTGAAAAAATTGCTAAAATATACAAGCTATAATATTTCTTTAACTCAGCAACAACTTTGTTCATAATCAAATGTGTTTATTTACAAAATTAAAATGTTTAGAATCACCAAAAGAAGGAAATTGATGAGCGAAAAGTTTTCATTTAAAATTGAAATATGTGGTGCAATGTTAATCGTCCTGAATTGGATCGAGAATCAAAACCACCACCTCCAGCACAGTGTGTGTTTCATAATCGCATAGCTCAATCTCCGTGGCTATCGGGAGGCTTTTATTATTTAAGCAAGTTCGCAATTCGCAATTTTTCAGCTGTGGTTGCATCAAAATAAGGCTACACAACCCTACATTAAGGTAATGGTTTCGCTGATAGCTAGGAATTGATCAATTTGTTTTATGCAACACATTTTCATTGTCTGCTTCTTCCACAAATAACAGTTATTTGAAAAAGGAAAAGGAAAAGCAGCACACAAATCCGTTTCCTTTGACCTATGGAAAGCTCGCTTAGCTCTACACAGCTTCCAGTAAACAACCCGAACAAAGCAATTTCTTCCGCTGCCACGGTTGAGTGGCAATGTGCCGTAAATCCTCTTCGAACCATAAATCATAAAACATTTATGCACCCCTTGATTGAACTCACCTGTTCGAGCGACAAAGTTTTCCCCTCCTTGGAGTTGACCTGAGCCGAGATCAGCGCCGCCAGCGTCGCCTTCTGCGGCTTGGACATCACCTTGAGCAGTGGCAGCACCTCGCCGAACTTTCTCTGCATATCGCGATTGGCGAAAGCTCGCAGCATAATCTGTCGCATCGCGGCCTGTTTACGCTGGAAATTGCTCTCGGCGATGTCCTCGACAAAGTCGACATCGTCCATCATGTCGAAGCTGGTGTCATCGTCCTCCATGAGGAATGCCCCTCCACCACCTCGATCCCCTCCCGTATCGTCAAGCGATCGATTATAGTTGATCATCTTGTGTGACGGTTGCATCTGCTGGTCGTCCCCGTCATTCACGTAATAGTAATCGTCGTCATCGGCATCGTCGCCCTTCTGAGCGTCAAAATCGAAATCCGGCAGGTCCGAGTTGGATTTCACCGTGACGACCAACAACACCAGCACCAGGCCTGTGGCACCCATCACAGTGCCAATCTGCATATTTATGTGCTTCAATCTTCACTCAGTCACTTTACGACACTTTGCTCGATTCACTCAATTTTTTCGGTTGCTTTTTTTTTCTTTTATAGCACAACCATTCCAATTAGGAACCCATTCACTGCTGCAATAACGAAAATAAAAAGTTGTAAAATTCAAATCAATGCTTGTCCTCTACATTTATAAGGTTAATTCACAAATTCAAATTTCTCCCTCAGTATTTGAAAAGAAACACGTTTCGTCACTTTCGTCGGTTTTCGGTTCACGTCATCGATCGTCTGAAGTGGAGTTTTCAATCTTCTATCCGAATTTGATCATTCCTTGTAGATGGTTAAAACCGAAACGGCACGAGACCTCGCCAGCGTGAAATCTTCGTATTTGTCGGGCGATTTTAATCACTTTCGCTTTTGGCGCGTTTCTTCTTCACACAAGGCGTGCAAAATGTGTCAACTGACGACGACAGCTCTGGAAGAAAGGGTACTTTTTGCTTCCAATTACACTTGATCCGATTCAACGAATTGGCTTGAAAAGCTTCGATTGTTCTGGTGACGTTGTGAAAGCCTATTTCGATAATTGGTGTGCTTTGTCTGGTGGAGTGTCACTTGAGCTGGGTGATTGAGATGACCTAAGATTTTTGGGGATGATGAGGTTTTTTTAAGGTGAATGAACTTGGATGATTGGATGTTCGTTTCACGTGAACCCATTGAATGTTGAACAGGCTTTTTTTCATTAGGCGTTTTGAATTTGATGGACTTATGTCTTAATAGTTCCACCAACAAATTGCAAAAAAATTAAATTTTCTTTTCATAAATTCAGACATTTGCAGATATAACTGAATAAAATACCATTTGTTAGAATACGTTATCAATATTGAGAATCATCACTGCTTAGAAAACAGTTCTGAGTTGTAGCACCCCAGCTTCATTTCCGATAGCACGCATACAGGTAAACCTCGATTTAATGTAACTGTCACTTTTCACTTCTACCACCGATTTCTTCCAACTACGAACTATTAATTGTTAATGTGGATTTGTATAATTGAGTTTATGCTTGCGAGAAATCGACTTTGGAAGTGAAAAGTGACAGTTACGATATATCGAGGTATACCTGTAGATACCGTATGCCGAAAAACAATCATTGTACCATTTTTCGCTCCCTTCATTCGCCTCGCCTAGAGGCAGTATCATGATAGTTCACTTATGTGTACGCATTCAAGTTTGAGCCGGGATCGCTTTCGGTGTGGTATTTCCAATAGTCTTTTTCGTTCAAAATCCATTTATTTAAAGTATTCGGGTTTTTGTGTGATCGTTGTTGGATACCTATAATGTTCCAACTCCGGAACACATGTTCCCGCTGCACGCTCGATTGAATCGATAAACGATGAAATCCGTTGAGCGAGAAAAAAAACTCCTTTTTCTGTTGTCATGTTTTTGCATGCATTTGCGCATGTTTTCATTTTCAGCAGAACTTTCTACTCGCATGGTATTATATCCTATCGGTAGGCACAAACCATGCAACTGCACCGCGTGACCGGTTTTTCTCTCTGTTAAATACTCGGTGGATCAGAGCGTTTAAGGAATGCGCTGTTTGCAGGTTGCTCGATTCCTTGTTGAACTTCGCAAGCACTTGGTGCGTGCATCAACTGCACGCATAATTTCACTTTTCCAGCTCTAGATGTTCTACTGCCTGACGCTGGTTGTGGTTGATGTGGGCATGAGTAGCGGTGAACGAACTGTAGAGAAATGGAAAAGTCCGACGAAACAAACAGTTGCCCACTAATTTGCCTAACCGTGATCTCGGCGATCTTTTCCATCTTTCTCTCACTCTGACGGTGGTCGATGAAAATCACTTTCTAAATTACGCGTTTAGTTTTTGGTACTGTTGACTGTTGTTGCATCCGCAGCAACCAGTACAACCGCCAGTAGAGTCTGATGTTAATCAGCACGTCTATGGCATGCGTGTGTGTTTTTTCAAGGCTTTCGTAACTTTGGCATTGAACATGATTTGGATACATGCTCGATTGATGGAGTGTTGTTGAAAAGCGATACCCTCACCGCGGGGCATTTCTTTGGGTAGCTATTCCAGATTGTTCGCAGTAGCTTTGGTCTCAGAAATTTTTGAATACAAACCAGATTGATGTTTCCTTGAAGCCGATTTGCTTGGTTAGTTCGGAATGTTACTGTTTTTGAATGTAAAGCAAAAGTTGAAATGATTTTGACACTTGCAAGAACACGAAAACACGTAAAGGGTGGACAGTCGACTTTTGAAAATTTGGTGAACTGTAGACATTTTGAAAATTCAACAATTTTGCAGACGCTCACCTCATTTGATGAGGTGGAACCAGGCAAAATTAGGGCTAGAAATTCCCATTTTTTCACGCGATGAATTTATATCTAAACTGCAAGTGTGACATGCTTTCCAATCGGTTGATCGTTTGAGTTCAAATCATAAATAACACAACAAGGATCCCTCGAGGCCACTCAATTAATTGAGTTGCCAGAGACGACGGGAACTCTTTTCTTCTGATCCCCTCAATTGATAATACCATATACTATCTCTAGGCAACTAGAATTCACTAAATAGGTTTATAACATTATCAATGCCCAGTAACACTTGGTAGATCACCTTTTCGTGGTGCGTTACTGGCATTAAGATCTGCCACCGAAGCCTGGTTCAAACTACTTCAAACTAGGGGAACAGAATTGTTTTGTAATCAAAGGAACACATCTTAGTCCTTTTTACTGTGTATGCCTTGTTGATAGTGAAAAGACTCGGCTTTGTCCACTGAGGATTTTTTTTTTCCTCTGTTCGGGACCTAACACTACTGCGACCAGTAAATTGATCTATTGTAGTATATCCCGTGTCCTTAGTTAAGTGCATGTCGTATTACTCCATCACTATTGAGAAATGATGAAGTATTCGATTTTTTTTATAGTTGCCACTCTTGCATTTATCGCAAGGATCCGACTCTAATTGAAAGGTCCCGCTATTTATACCTTTCGGAGTGTTGAAACACCATCCAAAGGCGCGCCCCTTTGTCAGTCAAAATTGGATTCCTTAGCAACAATCTTTTTTTTTTTTGTAGCCACATAGTTATTAACACTCTTGGGTCATTCGTGACTTGTCCGGGGGTGAGACTTGAACTCGTGACTTTGACGTTAGAGGTAAGGATGTTAACCACTATGCCGGGGTCGCCCCCAGCAACAAAATTAAGGAATGACACCGATAATGACCATGCATCAGAACCCTAGTCTTAACCACTTCAAACTAGGGAACAACGAATAGAAGATTAGGAATCACATAGATGAAAACAACTAACTCATTTTTTCCTTGTTTCAAGATAATCCTCGGTAAACAAAACCGAATCTTGTCACTATGTACAAGGCATAAAAAGTAACAAGGACTAAGATGTGTTCCTTGGATTACTGAAAAATCCTGTTCCCCTAGTTTGAAGTAGTCAGGACTAGGAATCGGTGGTAGATCTTACATCCCGTAACGTACCACGAAAAGGTGATCTACCTACGTTACGGGGCGTCCACCCAGGATGATCTTGAAACAAGGAAAAAATGAGTTAGGTAGTTATTTTTCATCTACGTGATTCCTAATATTTTATTCGCCGTTCTCTAGTTTGAAATGGTTAAGACTAGGATTCTGATGCATGGTCATTATCGGTGTTATTGCTTGATTTTGTTGCTAAGGAATCCGTTTTTGACTGCAAAAGGAGTGCGCCTTTGGAGGGTGTTCCAACACTCCAAAGGGTATAAAGAGCGGGACCTTACAATTAAAGTCGGATCCTTGTGATAAAGGCAAGAATGACAGATGTTTCAAAACCGATTACTTCTTCATTTCTCAATAGTGATGGAGTAATACGACATGCACTAAACAAAGGACACGGGGTATGCCACAATAGATCAAATAACTGGTCGCAGTGGATTTATGTCCCGGACTGAGGAAAAAAAAACATTATCAATTGTATATGTAATGTAACAATTAATTTATTCCTAGCCCCTCAATTCGGCTTATCAAGGAAATAAATCATTTTTCAGTAATTAATCGCAATGTTTATAAAATTGCTCACTGGAAATTCTGATACACAAACGAATCACTTATTTATGAGACAAATCCAGCTCTGCTCTCGTTCACTTAAAAACTTTTGCGTGTAAAATGTCTACTCAAACAAAGCAAATTGTGATAACCTAAAGTGATTTTGATTTTTTTTTATCGGCCAAACATAGGCCGATATTACATCAATTTTCCTGGAAAGTTCTCAAGTGATAATTGTAAGTTTGTTAGTTGTTTATCTTGCCCAATTGTTAATGAAATGCTAAAACTATATTGGCATGTAAATTGAGTTCCAAAACCGTCGGGGAGGAATGTTGAGCAGAATCTGTGCCAGAAGTTTAGGGCAGTCGATAGATCGTCCAATGACATCGAAGACAAATAGCCGCTGCATCGTTACTCGTCTGACAGATAGTGGCTCCAATCCTATGAGCTTGCATCGGTCGGAATAAGGAGGAAGATTGGTCGGATCGGTCGAGGGAAATTGTCTCAGTGCAAAACGTAAGAGCCGCGTCTGTAACCGGTCTTTCATGAGAACCTGAGCTACATAATAAGGGGATTGGTCCCGTCGGAGTTGCGTACTCCAGAATGCCACAAACCAACGAGCTGTAGAGCGTTTTTAAAACGTGGATGTCAGTGAAGTCAGAAGCGTGGCGACGTATGAATCCCAGTCCCGAAAAAAGCTTTGCAGCGGCCGGTAATAATTTTACACTGCTTGTTATTAAGCTGCATGCCGTTATTGCCACACCATACCAGCATAGTATCAAAATCTTCTTATAGGGCAGTATATTCCAGAAGAGAAGCTTTGACACGTTAGATTTTTAGATTGTCAGCGAATGAAAGCTTAAACGAGGAAAGTAGCAAACACAGGTCATTGATAAAAATGATGAATATTAGTGGTCCCAGAACGCTTCCTGGGGGTACACCAGACTTGATGTTGATAGTGCGGAATCGAGCCAATTTGACCGTAAATTTAGATTTCAATTTGATCTCAGACTTTGCTCGGGACACCAACCAGTGTAGTAAAGAGGATGAAAGCAGAATTCATCAAGGATAGCATCAGAC